TATACTATATATATATATATATATATATATATATATATATATATATATATATATATATATATATATATATATATATATATATATATATATATATATATTTCAAACAAGCGAGAGAGAGAGAGAGCAAAATAATATATAAAAATAAGTCAATTTGTTGTCATCCCTACGATGATTAACATGTGACCCATGGGATTGATCTAAGATCAGAGCAACAAAAAAAAAGACAAGAATATTAAAAAGAATATTTACCTACATCCAATTCGGATATTTATTTTTTATTATTACTTGATGTGCGAAGAAAGGAGGATTAGGTCCTAACTGCTGAAGTGGAATAATTATCATGAAGATGAAAAATTTAATTAAAATACAAACTGATCCTGATCACAACTGGTGGTGGGAAGAAAACTAATTTATGGGATGATATGTGGATACTCCTATAAACAACCACATGGACTCGTTCTTTTGATGACTAGATGAAACTAAACCGCCATGGTTATAGCAAAATGAAGAAAAAAAGAAACAGAAATTGGCTATAACCACAATTTCATCGAAACCGCCACTGGTCTCGATAATATGCTTGACAATACTGAACAATTTCATCGGAATTTAACTTGTGCAAACCAATATCAATAAACCAGAGGAATGGAAAATGCATTTTAGCACCACTTAGGGAGAACAGACCAACAGATGGAAGGCGAATAACCACAAAAAAGGAATCTATAACTGATGTAACGTAATGAACTCAGTTGCCCATAAACAAGAAAACCAGTGATTCACGAGTACAGCAAAATAAATAAGGATAGTGGGTTGAACAAATGAACTCAGCGAGTTTTAGCATGTACACGATTTCAAGACAAAAATTATGGACATGTCAAAGAATCACCCTGTGACATTGGACCAATGAAAAATACTATAAACAACAAACGTACGATCATTTCATATATGAATATAACCACCTGACGTACCATCACCATAAAGATGGCACCAGGTTGTACCAGGCCACATTTCCGCAAGCCCACCATCTAGTGCACCAAAAAACTGGAAGTGTAGCTCTCTGTTGTCGTTTACATTGGTCTATATAACCTGTAATAGTGTGACACCGTCAGCTAAAGCATTTCAAGGGATCCACTTTTTAGCCTTTCCATTCGTGCTTGCAATCCGGATAATGCCTTCTCATCCATTGGAAGAACATTGATCTGGGCCAGGGTTTCCCCATCAATATGATCAACTCCATGAAGCACATTACTATTGATATGTGCTAATGGTCGGGCTGAACCATCCAAGCTGCCAGCAGCGGCTGCAGCTTGAATGCTTTTCATCCGCTCTCTGATGGCATCCAGAGTCCCCATTGTTACTGCAGGAGCTGGCAAGATTTCATAACCAGACAACAATAGTTACTAGTCATCTCACCAACTTAATACATAGCCACATGCTCATGCATGCACCAAGTCACCCACACATGCATGCACACATACATATACACGCAGGAGAGAGAGAGAGAGAGAGAGAGAACCAGCTGGATATCGGTCCATGCGATCATCTCCTAAGTGAGACCTAAACTCTGATGGATCAGTTTGACCCCTCAAAGCTGCTGTTGTCCCACCAGCATCATCTTCCGCATATGGAACAGCAACATTAGAGTATATGCTTTCACTTTTT